TAAAAATCAAATTTTCTAGAGAACACAGTTTAATTCTTAGCCACAGTACAGTTTAGCAGTATATCTAATGCTGGAGAGTAGATTAGATCCCTCCTTTGTTGTAACTTACAGCCTAGAACACTGTTGAGAAATATTTAATTCTTCATTTATCAAACATTTCTCAAGCACCTGCTCTGTATCCTGTGGTGGGTATGCTGTTGAGGGGCACAGAGTTGAACAATACATGATCCTTGCCTTTGAAAATGCGTACAGTCTAGTGGTAGGGGTAAGATTCCAGAAAGGACTGGTTTCAGAGCCACAAATAAATTCTTCTTTTGTTCAGCTTCCCCTTTTCTTGGTTTCCCTCCTTCCTTCTCCTCCTCCCTGACCCCACCCCCACCCCCCAAAAACCCCCTTAAACTTCCTTAAATCCAGCTAATTATTTGAAGCAAATTCAGATCTTATTGATTTTATGTTTCTTACTAATTTTTCTATCTAAATGGATTTTTCCTATGGAATATACATCACTTTAGTAAATTACCAGCAATCAAAGAAAAAGATTTTCTTTCTGTAAAGTAGCCTCTTTATTATCTAGCAAAAAGGGCTTTTTAACGAATGGCTAAAGCCTTCTGAAATCAGCAAGCAGTATAACCACTTTACAGGTAGAGAAAATTGAGCTCACACACAAGATAAGTTTTCTCAATATTTTATCTTCAAGTAGAATGTGGCTTTCCTGAACTCCATCCACTTCATAATCTATTTTTAATTTTCTGATTTCTTGTCTGCGAATTTTCAAAAAAACAGCTAAGTTTAGTTGTGAGTAATCGCCCCTACAAATGAAAGCCTACCTCTTTCCTCTCCATGGATCAGTAACCCCTTTAACCTCGCTCTCTGCTTCAGAAATCTATCCTGAATACTCAAGAGCTTCTGTAGCACGGTCTGTCTATTACTTCTTCCACTCCCATTTATTTCTTCCAAATCCAAGTGCTAATAAAAATTTCTTGCCACAGAGAAGTGGTCTGTTAAGTGGTTAACTTAACAATTGCCCAAGCTGAGCACTTTGATATTTGTTGACAGTCTAGCAAAACAGGGGCTGCATCTAGAAGATGGTAAACCTAGTTCCCATTCATTTTGCTTCAGTGTTCCAAAGTTACTGAACACTTGCTTCCTGAAAATCCCTTATAAAGAAGTGGAGGAGTGGTCTCTCCTTTTGCATCTTGTTTCAGAGTTTGTTTTAAGCTGGCTGTTAAGATGCCCACAGACAGCAGGCTGGAAGCTAACCTTTGAACAAATGTAGACTTGTTCATTTAGTAGAATGTTGTTATTAATGCACAACATAAATAAGGAGTTTGAGGATGTTCCCCTTGGACAGGAAAGGAGCCCCAAAGTCGATGCCCCTCATATTGGAGAAGATGTGGTAAGATGATATAAGGGAACTAAACTCTTAATTAAACTACTGTGTATCACATTATTATTTTTTTTTTAAGATTGAAGTAGGTGAACTACCTTAGTTTTATTTCATAATAAAATTAATTTTAAAGATTTTTTTCCATGATTTGATTTGTTCAGTTACTGTTTGGCTGAGATGAATGACCATTTCTTCTCATCACTTACAATTTGTCAACTTTATAGCCCAGTCTCTGTTTTGTTTGTTGAAGAGGAATAACTTTCTCAATCTTTTCTTTTTTAATATTTATTTAATTTATTTATTTGGTTGTGCCGGGTCTTAGTTGTAGCAGGTGGGCTCCTTAGTTGCGGCTCATGGGCTCCTTAGTTGTGACATGCGAACTCTTAGTTGTGGCATGCATGTGGGATCTAGTTCCCTGACCAGGGATCGAACCCGGGCTCCAGGCATTGGGAGCACAGAGTCTTAACCATTGTGCCACCAGGGAAGTCCCTTTCTCAATATTAACACAGTTGGAATTGCTTTTCTCCCCCCAAATTATTTTTTTATTTTTTTACTTGTCTTTTATTTAATTTTAGCTGCACTGTGCAGCATGTGGGGTCTTAGTTCCCTGACCAGGGATCAAACCTGTGACCCCTGCAGTGGAAGCACAGAGTCTTAACCTCTGGACTGCCAGGGAAGTCCCTCCCCCAGAATTATTATTATTATTTGCATTACGCAGGCCTCTCACTGTTGTGGCCTCTCCCGTTGCAGAGCACAGGCTCCAGACACGCAGGATCAGCGGCCATGGCTCACGGGCCCAGCCGCTCCGCAGCATGTGGGATCTTCCCAGACCGCGGCACGAACCCGTGTCCCCTGCATCGACAGGCGGACTCTCAACCACTGCGTCACCAGGGAAGCCCCCCCAGAATTATTTTTGAGGGCTTTATCTAGGAGACTTGATCCTAGATTTTCATCAACTTTATTGCAGTTTATTGCCACAGGAATACTTAATATGTATAAATAAGTGGCAAGATAGATGGACTCTTCTCAGTTAAGAACCAGATGTCCTCCTTAAGGCTTTCCTTAAGATTTGAGAGCTTTTTGAAGAGCAGTTGATTTTTCTTTTTTTTTGCGGTACGCGGGCCTCTCACTGCTGTGGCCTCTCCCGTTGCGGAGCACAGGCTCCGGATGCGCAGACCCAGTGGCCACGGCTTACGGGCCCAGCCGCTCTGAGGCATGTGGGATCTTCCCGGACTGGGGCACGAACCCGTGTCCCTTGCATCGGCTGGCGGACTCTGAACCACTGCGCCACCAGGGAAGCCCTGATTTTTTTGTTTTAATTGTCACCTGTGGTTTAGAAAAAATAAATTATCTAAATACTTGTATCTGCCTGCTATCTACGTTGATGAGATACATGGAATGAGTTTCAGAAGGATCTCATTAAGGTGTACTCTTTTAGCCCCTGTTCTCAAACTTTGTCCGTGGTGGTTCCTAACCTTGGTCACACACAGGAAAGCTTAAAAATTAGTAATAATGCCAGTGTCACGCCCCTTTGCAGACCCATGACTATCTGGGGGTGAGGCTTCTGCAGGATGTTATTTAAAAGACCCCAGATGATTCTAATGTGCAGCCAGGGTTGAGCACCACAGTTATAGAGCTTGTTAAAAATGAGGATTCGATGGGGCTTCCCTGATGGCGCAGCGGTTGAGAGTCCACCTGCCGATGCAGGGGACACGGGTTCATGACCCGGTCCGGGAAGATCCCACATGCCGCGGAGCAGCTGGGCCCGTGAGCCATGGCCGCTGAGCCTGCGCGTCCAGAGCCTGTGCTCCGCAACGGGAGAGGCCACAGCAATAAGAGGCCCACGTACCACAAAAAAAAAAAAAAAAAAATGAGGATTCGAGTCTGTTTCACCAGACCATGAGTTTTGGTGGACAAGGCCTTAGACTATGCATTTTAAATAAAATCTCAATTAATAATGCAAACTAAGTTTTAAGAGATTTGAGGATTCTTTTTTTCTCGAGCTCGTTTACATCAGTGAGAACCAAAAGCAACTCTACTGATTGGTGGTAATTGGGGAAAAGAAAGGAAATTGGAAGACAAGATATTTGATCTGTTTCTTTTAAAAGAAAAATAAGGGAAATATTGGCCTGTGGAACAGGAGTTTGGTGGTGATGTTAAGTTGCCAATTTTCATTGTTTCTGGAAATCTAAATGCATTGATGCTTCCTTTTAAAGAGCTGATGATCCTTGCTGAATGAATCCGTGGCATAGGTGAAGTTAGAACAAATTAGGAGAGGGAAAAGAGACAACTAAGGATTCAGAGACCTATGTTCAGGCCTCTTAAGGATGGTTGGAATTATTTTGTTTTATTTTTTTTTAATGCTACTTGTATTTTTTATAGCCTATTAATTCAGATTCTCAAATTTTGTATGTAACCTACAAAAGGCCTTGCTCACTATATACTCTTTTTTTTTTTTTTTTTTTTTTTTTTTTTTTTTTTTTTTTTTTTTTG